ATTACAATTAAAATAAATTGAGTGTAACACCCATTATTATTTATATGCATTCCAAGATAACAAGTTTGAAAATCCACTCTGTGTCACTACAAAGAAAAAAACCCCATGTTAATTTTCCAAATACTAAATTTCAAGACTATTTTTATCCTTTTGTACCCAAAGGCATAAAGTTTGATAGTTGAGATTAACTTATAGTTACTGTTTATGGTTAATGTTTATGTAATTACAGTTGAATCGTGTGTGTGTGTGTGTTTTGGGTCAGTCTACCCAATAAGCACCAACCACCTGACTCACACTCTCCATGGATTGTTCCCAAATGGATCTTGGGTTTCTCTTAAGGAATTCATTATAGAAATCTGTCAAAAATAAGAAATATCTTCACTAAAAATATTTTTGCTTATTTACAATTTCCTTTTAAAAGTATTTTTAAACATCTATGCAGAGCCAATTATATATGAGTGTGAAAACCATTAGCTTGTTAACATTGTATGGCACTTGGGTACATCTAAAGTTACTGTTTTTATTGTACATTAGAGAGAATATCCTTTATATTTCTTTGCAATTCTTTTCTGTGTAACCAGCTGTCACAATCTCGGGTTAACCAATGCTTTACCACAGTCACTTGGTTTCATACATGTTTTGTTACATAAACAAAATAAGATTAATTAAAATGGTGATAAATGAGGTTAACTGGTTGTATGGAGTAAGAAAGGATTAGCACTTTACAGTTTACAAAACTGAATGTCATTGTGTAACCATTTCAATTCTTAAGGTCTTAATTTGTGAAAATAAAACTCATTCAAAACTAAGTGATAGATACAAGATCAACTCCAAAAAATCAGTCGCCCTCTTATACACAAAGGATATGGAAGCAGAGAGGGAAATCAGAGAAGCTTCACCTTTCACAATAGCCACAAACAGCATAAAATATCTCGGGGTAACTCTAACCAAGGAAGTGAAAGATCTATTTGACAAGAACTTTAAAGCATTGAAGAAAGAA